ATTTTTAAGAAATCTCAGAAGTGTGTGAAAACAAAGCTGTTAACAAATAAATTAAAATTTAATAGTTTACTCATTGCACAGAAAAGTAAACACTTAAAAGAAAAAGGAAGAACCAAGTTTTTATTAAAAAACGAAAAAAAAAAAAAAAATGTGTAACGTATGGAAACAGCACTAAATCACCGCATGAACATTTTTACCCATAGACGCGTTTACTTGATTATCTAGCATAATTGGAAAAGAAGATATCGAAGGTAGTGGTCAATTCTCGATTGAGACAGAAACGTGTACGAGAATTCGAGCTAATCGAATATCTTTGAATATTATATACATATAGGTACTAGTAGGAGCTATGTATAAAAAAAAGTCATCACTGAAAGTAAATCGTGTAAAAAAAGGATGCCCCAACTTGGGTGCCAAAATAATCCGAAACTTTTTTCACCCTCTTAGCTTTTCTATCCCAAAGTTGAGATACATGCGTACTCGATTAACAATAAATGAAAAATAAAAATTTAAGCAACCCCTGCAGATTCTCTGGTCTAGTCCAATGATTTATGAATCCCATCTGAAACTCGCATACAGACAATGTAAATTCTAAAAAAGCGTACATATACACATTTAAACTTATTTAAGGGATATGGCCACTAGAAGAAATTATTAAAGAAAATAAAAATGCATCATTCAAGCATAGTTTTATCATTAAGCGAGATATGAAAAGAAAAAAATTAAAAAAAAAAAAAAAAAAAAAGAACTGTAAGCAAGCAGAAGGTAATTATTATAGATTATATATTAACGACATTATTTATACAGTAAATGCATATTGAATAATTAAAAGATAACGGATACTAACTTTAGAGTGATGTATTTTTCTCGAGAGGAGAGTTTTTCGTGAAAGCGAGAAAAAAATAATGGAAGTGTGAATGACGAAATGGATTTTCAAAATAATGGAAAGTGAGGACAGAGTTGGAGAGTGACAAAAATTTTGAGAATGCAAGAGAGTGAGAGGAATGAGTGAACGGGAGAAAAAGGCCAAGAGATATATAATTAAAAAAAAAAATAACAAACAAAACAAAAAAAAAGGACTAGTTGTGAAATAAATAAATGGGAGGGCGAAAATGATGGAGGTGATGATGATTTGAAGATAAAGCTAATTACTTTTGACTTTGATGAGTAACATTCATTATTTCTTGTGCCGAACGATCGAAGCCGTTTTCAGCGCTACATATTTTGGACGACCCTTTGGTCAGACGAAGTACGATGTGAGGTTTTGAATACGACATCTCGTACAACGTTGAGGCGTGGATGATTTAGAGGAGTCTAAAATGATGAGAAAAAAGAAAAAAAGAAAAAATAATTAAATAAAAATAAAGCAGAAGTTTCTATACTTTTTACGGAGATTGTTATAGTCTAAGCGCACACTGATAAAGGCATTCTTCGCTCGGCAAAACATATAATAAAATTATTAATATAAAATTTATAACAGAAATAAATAAAGTTAATAAGTATGTACACTGTATAATGAACAATTATTTCCTATTAATAAAAATAAATCGTCTTATTATTTCCTCGCATTGCCTCATCTTCCAAAAATACATTTTATATTACATTTGTTACTTATCATACCACTGTACAATACGTAGGAATAAATATATTTAAAATTATTGGATCTAGAAGCTCTTCATTGTATTTTATTTAAAAAATAGTTCTTACAGCAACAAGTTACTTTTGCCTTTATCATTTATTTCTATTTGTATCATTTAAATAAAATTTATATTTACGAAAAGATAAAAAGTAGACTATTGTCATGCTCAATGAATTGAAATGGTAGACGTTAATGTTATTTACAATTATTCATTAGTAATTGAACGAACTTGTATTTGAAAGTTTTATAAGACAATAAATATGATACTTTTTCACTACTTTAACTAGAAAAATTTATAATATGCAATAATATTGATACTTATCTAAAAATAACTTAAAATTTTATGCTTATATGTTCAGTTCACAAAACTTTGCCTTCCATACAATTCAACCACAAAATCTATCCCATAGTTTCTTTGGCTTTTGAACTCTGCCGTAACAAAAGTGTAATTCGGTCCACCACTGAGAATCGTAACCTTGGCACCATTGCCTACTTTATTCTGATCAAGAAAACGAATCTGCGTGATTTTGTGGTAATTATCGCCTGTAAACGTCTTCTTCAATTTGACGATTTGGAGGATGCTCGCAGATTTTCGAGCGGGATCACGTTGCATCAAAAAGTCACCAGGTGAACGACGTCCTACGATTAAGTCGTTGGAATGGGCAGTTGTAAGAATCGCTGCTACAAAGGTGAGAAGGAGTATCACAGGTATACGTAGAGACGCCATTTCTTTATGGATCTGTTTATGAATTTTGATACCTACTGATGTAAAAAAATTCCCTGGTAAAGTAAATTTTGATTTGGGAATAGAATTTAGTTTACGACAATAAGTGCAATTGAATAATACTTACAAATCCGTAGGTAGAAATAATGCGAAGCTTCGCAATCGAATCATCAATGATATTTTCTTCGAGAAAAATTCAGTATCATAAGAGGATATCGCACTTATCAAGAAAGATAATCTTTTTTTTTACGACACGTGCACCAGCTGACTGAAATCGATGAGATTGTGATCAAAAATTATCGTCAAATGATTTCAATATTTTTTTCTAATTAAACTAGAGAACTTATGGAAAAAATTATATGATTTTTATTAAATTGTTATTGTATAATGCATTTAACTGCTGTTTTTGTCTTATTTAGTTTTTTTTTTTTTATTAATTAAGCCATAAGAAGAAATTTATTAATAATTTAAAGAAATATAAATTCAATGCCATGGTAAAAGTTACTGATTTTTTTTATAAGACTCCACAAGAGCACATTATTTATTCAAGAGAGCAATACCACTTGTATTAGATGAAATAATTGTCAAACACAGTATGGGATTAACCGGATATATTTATATGATGAATAAGTAGTATGTATGTATGCATGGATATTATAAACTCTACAGAATAACGTTGGTACTTATTTAAGATTAAATTAGGATTAAATTCAGGAGATTACTTCGTTTTCACACAAGAACCTTATGGTTTACTATTAGAGAGGTTTTATTGAAGAAAAAGAAATTTCCAACTCTTGTGAGACTGAGCTTAAAACTAATAGTTTCACGTAATTGCGTCTCGTGAGTAGTTTTAAATAAATTACCTCGATGTTTTGAAAATACAACCAAAATAGGGAACATGAAATTCATGCTGTACCTACAGAATGATAGCCTCTGTTTAAATGTTCATCTAGCAAATAACTGTCAATTATTTTATTTTTCGCATCCAATGCTGTCCTTTTAAGGTATAGCGATTATTCTATTATTGAAAGTTGTGTAAATATAAAAGATATTTATTTCCACTTTGGAAGACCCGTAAAAATTGTTATTTTTAAGATATCTTTTGTTTTCCCTTCGAAATACGAGTATAGCTTTGTTTGTTTTCTTTTTTTGATACAGCTTTATTTTTTTATTGTTCACCTTGCCTTTATAAAAATACAACCACAATAAAAAAATGTAGGCTGTACATGTTATCATATTCATTGCTTGCGTCTTCATATATGTACGGTTTTTTTCTTTGGCTCCAAACCTATCATATAATCTGTTTCGTCACATATCCATTGTACTCTTCATTTAAAAGTGCTACATTTATATCTATAAAAGATTCAGTTAAAAAACAAACTTTCATACAATTTATTCAGATTATTAAATCAAGTGAAAGGACTTATGCTCATAAGCGAAAATCAACACTAGGTGCGTGCTAAGTACACACTTTTTTCACTGATAACAAATGTATGGCAGCCAGATACTTCTGTATAAAAATGTAGTTTTTCACATACACTTAGCCACTTGTGACAATTATTACAAGAAAAAATTTTTTTAAACCACACATCACAAATACAGAATCTATTTTCCATAAATTTCTACGTGAAAGTCAATACTGTGGCCACGAGTACTTTTAAAACCGATGGTTATGTAATTGTGTCCTGGACCACCACTGACAATTGTAGCTGAGGCGCCATTGCCGTTTTTATTTTGGTCCATTAGCAGGACTTGGGTAATTTTGTGGTAATTATTTCCAGTGAAAGTTTTATCCAGCTTGACAATTTGCAAGAATCGCGAAGATTTTTTCACGAACTCACGTTGCAGTAGAAAGTCTCCGGAAACTCGAGTCCCAATGATCAAATCGTTTGGTCTTGTAGATTTCGCGTAAGTTGCGACTGCAAAGGTGAGTAAGAAAGCGAGCACTAAACCACGAGACAACATTTTTCTGAAAATTTATTCTACATTTTAGAATATTACAAAACATGTAGACCTCAACAAAAAATATTAGGCGAGACGACGAAGATTTACTCACGTTCAAATCAACTTTTGCCAACAGATTTTATCGAACGAACGCTTTTTATCAACTGAAATAATGACAGCATGAAACTCCCTTTTATATTTTTATCATCGTATCGACAAATTTTTTTTGCCGTATGATATTATTAGTGCTGATATTTTTCAATAAATATTTGCAAAAAAAATTTGTTCCTCTTGACCTTGTGACTCAACGTTTACTCTGTCTTCTTCGATAAAGTCATTCGCAAACAATTAGGTTTTACGTTGAATGACACAGAATTTTTTTTAATTTCCTCAAGGACGAAATTAATCAATCGATACCTGTGTACCAGTTTTTGGTTGTTAAAATTAATTGTCAGAGTCAAGACATTTTACCAGCTGTAACTTTTTTTAGAGCTATTACAATAGAATTATCTACTTAAATCTCCCAAGAAAAGTACCATGCTTTATTTCTTTATTCGCACGGCATATAATCATAATGTGTATACGCTTTTTTCAACACTGTTTTCTCAAAATTTTAAGTAAATGTAATAATTTTAGTAAGATAAAAGTTTTAAAAAAACTATTAAACACCTAAGATTAATTTTTTATAAATTATTTTATACATTATTTTATATATTACACATAAGATTATTTTCATATTTAGCACGATGCTTCTGTTGTATGTAACTTCCGTAACATGTAATTGTTAGGAAGAAAATAAAACAAAATCATTATTTTATTAGCTGTAAAATTCATGGCCTTAAATGAATTTTCAAACACTTGAAAGAAAATTTTTTTATCATGAATTATATTTTTTTAAATAATTATTCACTACTGAGAAACATTATTTTTTAGCAGATAAGTTGNNNTATTTTAAAATATTTTAAATAAAATTTATATAAATACTTTATTAAATACTTTCACTCTTATATTTTATTGTTTTTACTTTAAAATTTTATTACACTTTAAGTTGCAAAAAAATTTGTAAGGCATTGTGTTATACGTAGTACTTGGAATTCATTTTTTTTTTGCACTAATGTCGCAACACGCTTTTAGCAATAAATTATAAATTAAAATAATTTAAAAAATTATTCGTACCCAAGTCTGTGCAAAGATTTCAACTTTTCCTAATACACTTTTTTCTGCATCAATGTGCAAAACACACCTACTCGCAAATTAACAAGATTAAGTACTGCGTTAAAGACGTAATTGTTCATCTTTCACCCACTTTTATCTTCCGTAAAGCTCGACGATGAAATGTATCGAATGGCCGCGAATGCTCTTGAATTCAACAGTGACGAAATTATGTCCTGGACCGCCGTTCAAAATATTGGCCGTCGCCCCGTTTCCTTTCATATTCTGGTCCAAAAGTCGCACTAGAGTAATGTTGCTGCGATTGTTGCCTGTGTACGTCTTTTTTAGCTTGACGATTTGCAGGAATTTCGAGGGTCTCTGGGCTATCTCCCGTTGGATCAAGTGGTCCCCAGGGATGTGGGATCCGACGATCAAGTCGTTGGCTGCGTAGACGGCAGCGAGTGTCGTGAGGAAAAGAAGTGCCAGTGACAAGCGCGAGGCCATAATTCTTTTTGTAGCTATTCGGATTTCTGTATTAAAATCAGGAGAAACAATAATTGAATGTTGTAAAAATAAAAGTTTTCCTCTAGTAAATTCAAGAAAACTCACCTCTACTGCGAACGTAAAAGTCTGCTCGAGATCGACTGTTGTTAGGTACACGCGAAAAGCGTTTTATACGTCGGTTACCAAAGAGTTGGAGCATGGAAGTGACTCACAACATTATCACGATGGATTACGAGCGATAAAAAGGAAGTAGCTTACACCTGAGAATGAAAGATGTTTGTAAACTGATAACAAAATTCTCGGATGATATTCGATGTGCGCAAAAATATTGATGACTAATGCAAAAAAAGACCAATCGGATGATTACTCGTGATAGGAGATTTTTACGTGCGTGCGTTAGAATGAGATTTATTGTAATCATTATAATTATTATTTATGTTATACACGTGTCGAGTGATGTGATGATTATTATGATTACATTTTTTACTATCCAACTTTCAGGCTATACGATCCAAAGAGATACAAATTTTGCTGAGAATTCTTCGATCTATGAACCTTTACAAACAAGCTAAGGCTTTGCTACTTTTTGTTAAGTTTAAACCCAAACGCCACAATAAATAAATAAACAAATAACCGTTTACTTATTGTACTAAGAATGTGTGCGACGTAGAGTATTCTAAAATTGTAATATGAGACTTTACGTTGCACGTAATTTTACTTCATATCAATTTTAATTGAAACAAGATAATTAAATTCACTATTTCTATGAAGGTGACAAACAGATCTAATGGTAACACTCCACATTTGTTTTATTTTGTAAACTTATTTTGCTTCAATAATTTCTACAATTTAAAGCAATTGACTTTTATAAAAATTCGCTAAACAATCCTCATGATCTGTTTCAACCAATTATAACTTTATAACTTTATCACAAGCTCTGAAAGTTTACAAAAATTTAACTGGAACCTTTTTGTAATTTAATAGTACTCAAAAAACACTAATACATTGAATTTCATGAAAATCCAAACAGAAATTCTAGTGTCATGAGTATTGAATAAAAAAATTAGTAACAACAGGGTCTTCTTCGAGACACAAGACCTGTTATAAACGTGTAAATTTTTCCTAGAAGAAAATAAAAATTAAAAAACATTTATTATTGAAAATTGCTCTTTTAATAAGCCTTTAAATAAGTGTTACTCAATTCTAACAATAGTTTTGTTAATATATTTATTACGTACAAATATTTTATTTTACAAAATGATCGTAGAACGAATCATTTTTGTGATAATGTTTTGTACAATCTTAAAAGTGAAATTTACATAGAAAAAACATCAACTGTAAAAAAACTTTTGCCAACGTTTATTCTTCATGGAGAGTAAAAGCATATAGACAATATTAATGATTGAAGTAGCATGTTAAGATTACTCAATTTTGTGAATAGTCACGAGAACTGCCAGTGTGGACTCTCATGTGATGTATAAGATTGCTTTTTTGTCTGAAAGTTCCTAGACAATATGAGCACTCAAATGGTTTCTCCCCCGTATGAGTCCGTCTGTGTACCACCAGAGTTGTTCTTCGCCTAAACGTTTTAGAACAATCCGAGCATTTAAATGGTTTCTCCCCCGTGTGTATCATCATGTGCTTTCTAAGATTGGCTGGGTCTATAAATGACCTTTGGCAGATGGTGCAGTTACCACAAGGTATGCCGGTGTGGACGCCCATGTGCCTCGTGAGAGTGCTTTTACTCCTAAATTTTTTCTGACACTGAGAACACTCAAAGGGTTTTTCTTGCGTATGGGTCCTCATGTGCACTTTAAGATTGCCTGGGACTGTGAATGGCCTTTGGCAGATGGTGCAGTTACCACAAGGTATTCCGGTGTGGAGACGCATATGGGTTGAGAGGGTGTATTTTCGGCTAAAAGATTCTGGACAATTTGGGCACTTGAAGGGTTTTTCTCCTGTGTGGGTCCGTATGTGAGTTATCAAAGCTGTTTTGTCCCTAAACGTTTTAGAACAATCTGAGCACTCAAAGGGTTTCTCCCCTGTATGGGTCCTCATGTGCACTTTAAGATTACCTGGGACTGTGAATGGCCTTTGGCAGATGGTGCAGTTACCACAAGGTATTCCGGTGTGGAGACGCATGTGGGTTGCGAGGGTGTATTTGTGGCTAAAATATTCTGGACAATCTGAGCACTTGAAGGGTTTTTCTCCTGTGTGGGTCCGTATGTGAGTCATCAAAGCTGTTTTGTCCCTAAACGTTTTAGAACAATTTGCACACTCATAGGGTTTCTCCCCCGTGTGGGTCCTCATATGCCTTTTGAGACTCACGGGATCCGTAAATGGCCTTTGGCAGATGGAACAATGATCATAAAATACGCCGGTATGGAGACGTATGTGGGTTGTGAGATTGCTTTTTCTGCTAAACTTTTTCTGACACTGAGGACACTCAAAGGGTTTTTCTTGCGTATGGGTGCGTACGTGTGTTATTAAAGTTGTTGCATGCCTAAATTTCTGAGGACACATTGAGCACTCAAATGGTTTCTCCCCCGTATGAGTCCGTCTGTGTACCGCCAGAGTTGTTTTGTTCCTGAATTTTTTTGAACAATCTGAGCATTTAAATGGTTTCTCCCCCGTGTGTATCATCATGTGCTTTCTAAGATTGGCTGGGTCTATAAATGACCTTTGGCAGATGGTACAGTTACCACAAGGTATGCCGGTGTGGACGCGTATATGCCTCGTAAGAGTGCTTTTTTGGTTAAAAGATTTTGGGCAATTTGGGCACTTGAAGGGTTTGTCTCCCGTATGGGTCCGTATGTGATCCACTAAAGATGATTTGCGCCTAAACGTTTTAGAACAATGTGAACACTCGAAAGGCTTTTCGGCAGTGTGGACAAGTTGGTGCTTTGTAAAACGAGTTAGCTCGACAAAAGTTTTACCACATACACTGCAAAGATGCAAACTTTCATTGGTGCTGCTTTTGTGGCTAGAATCCTGCGTATGGCCCTTCAACATATTGGTCACTTATTTTGCTGTGGAAGTATAATCAACGAGCAGATGTCATTTTTTGTAGATCTGCTACAATTTTTGGTGTATATGCTTTGCCAAGATAATAACAATGATGATTCAGAAATTTATGGCTGAGGAATATCCAATGTGTGGTCGTTTTTCCTGTAAAAAAACAAAGACAAAAATAAAACAAATGGTTAAAAGTATTAATTAACTAACTGCACATTTTGGTAAGGTTAATGTTCCTATTCGTAGAATACGTCCGTATTCATAGAATATAAAAATTTATGTATTTGTTATACAACTTACTTGATAAAAAAGTTGTGGTAGTTGTATATTTTTTGTATTTTTATGAATTCACATGAAAAATGTAATTTTACATACAATAAATGACCAATTTTAAAGATAATTCCATAAATAGGGACAAAGTCGTACATAACCTATCTTTTAAACTGTACGTATTATGGCACCAAACTTCAATGACTAATTTATACACTTTTAGTAAACAAATAAACAATATAGTAATTTTTATTAAATAAAAAATGTTATGCAAGTGAAAAAACTTTAATTGTCTTAAAATATTATGCTAAATTTACATTTTTTTAAAAGTTTCATAAATAGAGACATAATATGAAACAATAGGTACAACGTTCCATAATTATGTATATTTTGGTCTTATAACCTTTTTATAAGATAAAGTATTTTAACAATTAGGAAGCATATTTAAAAATTATAATAATAATGGTTAACTTATAGCGCACTAGCTAATACTAAAACTTCTACTGTTAAAGCTTACAGTTAAGTTAAGTTAATAATGAAAGAAACAAGTATGATGAAATTTTAGGGTCATAATAAGGACATTTACCTTACGTTGTTATGTTTATTTATTTAAAATTTTCGATAGGAAAATTGTTTGAAAAAGTGATTAATTCGAAATACTATTGATCGACTTATCTATAAAATAATTCGAATTGTTATCAGAAAAAAATATCGAAAAATATAATTAAAAAATATATGCATTTGTCGAAAACATATGAGCAGACTTTGCTATGGGTAGGGGTTATTATTGTTTTGGATAAATCTACAAAATTACGATGAGTAGGGGATCAATTTACTTGTAGTTTTTCGTAACCTATAGAAAAAATGAAGCATTTGTCTAATTTAAGCATTTGTATAAATTAATACAATTTCAAAACTGGAGTTTGCCAATGGTGGAAGTAATTTTATAGTTTCAGCCAGCTAAGAGTCAAAAGAGACTTGGTTTGATAATGGAACTTAAATATCGAGTTACTAAAGTGGGTTGCAAGTTTGTTGAGTGTAGTGGTGAGAAAGGTAAAATTAGGAAACGTATAAGTCAAGAAAAAAATTTTTTTTTCTGAATTACAAAAAAAAAAAAACATTATTTTAGCGTGCCTCGCCTCCAGCTTGGGCCGTAAACCTCTGGGTTCGTAAATCGAAGCCTTTGCAAACTCGTACGCAATATACTATTAAAGTCAACCATGGTTAGCAGAGTAGAACTAGAAAAAAATTAACGTAAAAAAAAAACATTTAATTGCAAGATTTTTGGCCTCAGGAGAAAAAATTTAGTAGAATTAGTAACATATTTTTTTTATATTGATTTTTTAACATTCAACTGATTAAAAAAGCTATATACTCACGTATTATTCTTTTTCACTTAAATGGTTAAATACGCCAAGTCGTTTAAGCATCCTAGTAGTTTTCCCAGTGATATGGTTGTTTTCTGGAAACAAAATTCGAAGTAAATGGTATTGATAATATTTCGTAAATAGTGAAATGAATATAAAGTTAAACCAAACCAGAATTAGTCAATTTTTTTATTACTTTATAGAAAATCTATTATAAAATGTTTTTCTATGCAAATGTCAAAGCGTACTGCATTGATTATAATGGCATTAAATATTTAGAATTTTTAGCTTAATTTGAAACTTTTTCATGATTTTTCTGGTCACCTTAGAGTATAAAACTTCAAATACAACATAAGCAGTAACTTTTAAATGAATAAAGATTTTGTTTTCTTTCCTGGGAAGAGTTTTTCATTTATCACTTTTGAAAAAATATATCTAAAAATTAATTGTTATCTACTGCAATCAATTGTTGCAAAGGGATTGAGAGCCACACTATGATTTTTCTCTGAGAATAAAGTACTTTATCTTAATTTAAAAATTTTGTTTTGTGTCTATGTGTAAAAGTCATTTGTGATAGTTTTTGTAGCTTTGAATTGCTAAAGTTTTATTTTAGGGATTAAAAATTATGTTGAAGCACTTTACTGTGTAAATGTAAGGCATAATTAATAAGTAAAATCACAACGAAAAAAAGCAATTAAAACACCTACACTCCCACACAGCCTGTTATATAAAGTATAAATATTTAATGAGAAAAAACATGTTTATATTTATATTGTCAACACCGAAAACCATCGTACGAAAGCTTATGAAAATTGTTAACGAATCCCCAAAAATACAATTTCATGAACTGAATCGATAAATATGGAGGTGAGGATGAAGAGTGAGGCAGCTGTTTGTATGCTATGTGAGTGCGTGCGTGGCAGTACTTAACTAATGCTGAGTTGGCTTGACTAAACTATTTCTAGAGATAAATTTCCGTAATATGAAAAGTAACGATTTCAGTACACTATTACGCAACATGTAAGAATCAACTTTATTATTTGAAACAAGAAATAGATTTACGATTTCTTGTTTGATATGAAATTTATCTACAATCTTTTTTTAGCCTGAAACTTCGTGGACCCTCGAATTCTTTAGTAACGGAATGGAACCGTTACAAAGAAACTAATTTTACTGTAATTGCTAATTTCATGTGAAATAAGTACTTCTCACAGCAACTGTTGCATCGCAATCGACAAACTTACATACCTTTTTTTAACTGAATTCTAACACTATATATTTGAGTTGGAGGGATGACAAAACACTTCAAAAATACGTACCTTTTTTGTAACATCTACTGTTACTACTGAATTACCTATTTTTACTGAACAATAATTGCTGACGTGTTGTACGAACGAACTCTCAAAATGTCGGGGAGCTTATAATAGCCTATTAATTGATTTTGGCTGTGCAAGCGTGTGCCTGCCGTCAGGCAAAATTTTCAAGTAATGCTTCTGGACGACGCCGAACTGATAATAATATAATTACTCAGCGCGTTGTTTTGTTCGCATGTTTCGTCTAACGTAACTGGCATGGAGTATGGCTGAATTTATAAAAAAGAGTGCACTGATACACACATAGCCCAGTTATAGCATTTATTGCTTGACTACAAAATAGAAATACATCGGCATATGATTTATCTTTTAACCGAAATAAAAGGTAAGCTTAGATTGATGTTTTAAATTATCATTTTCAAGGCTTTTCTAGGGGTCGCCTTCGTTCAGTGGCAATAAATTATTATATGTGAACTATTATTATTTCATTTAATATTTTTTCTAGAAATTTCAATTAAAAAAGTTGGATTCTGCAATTTCAAAAATATTTTTTTTTTTACAGAGTGTCTGTCGAAACAATGTCATATACAAAAAATTTTCTGCTCAAAAAAATATCATATTTCCTTCTAGCAAATGACTTTTATATCCAACGTTTGTACTTTTACAAACTTACTGTACTTACACAAAAAAATTGTATTTTTTTTAACGTCTACAATATTTTTATTTAGTTTATATTTCTTATCTTGCACATTTAATCAATTTCTTTAAAAAAATCATGGCATACGAAAAAGTTGTATGTAGTTGTCATGTGAAACTTTTACCAGAATGTACTTGTGTAAACTGTTGATTATCGAAATCATAGTGAGAAGTAATTATTTTTCTCAGACGTTAGAGGTAATAGGTAGGGCTGGGAATTAGTTTTTCTTCAGCGAAATTTATCTTGTTGCAAACCATTATGTTCCATTGTTAAGTCAAGGACATTTACCAAACTCGAGTCCAGTCGGATAAAAATTACTTGTGTTAGTCTAAAAACTTAATTACTTACACAATTAATTAATCATCTATTCGTACTTTGAAGTACTCAGACCAGCCTCAATGTAAGGTCCAAATTCGTTTTAGACAAAAATATACGATCAATTATATTTTGTACGGTTGGACTATTTCCTTTAGTGAAAACACAAGACATGTCTGTAAAGGAGTAGTGTTTTAAAAGTGATTTTAAAAGGTTTCTTCAATCTTATGCAATTAATTGGTTGATTAATCTCTCAGAACACAATCTTATAAACGCTCGAGGGACTTCACCAGGAAAAACCTTCATCACTGACATTTTATGCGTATGAAGAATTAAATGTATTCATCCGTATTCTGTTAAATACTCTCTTTTAATTAAAAAAAACATTTTATACAATTAAAAGTCAAATTCGTAATTAAAAAACAAATCTTAATTTAATAAAATATCATCTTTAATGAACTTATATTTTTTTATTCGTAAGAAAATATTTAACGGAATGAGGGTAAAGAAATTTTATTTGATTCGAAGAATTGGGTTGCTCAGTGAATCATGAATGACATCGATCAAAAAATTATGGGAAAAGGCAACATTTCTCCCAAAAAATAACTTCGAAAGAAACAAACAAAAAATCATTTTAATTAGTACACCGTTATCTGTCTTTAAACAATATGATGAAAAGTATTTTACTTCGCAAACAGATGATTTGATAAAAATTGTTATCATTTTGATTAGAGTTTCATACGGATTTGATTGTGACAAACAAGATAATATTCTAGATTTTCTTATACAATCTATGCCATGTGATGTTCTCCTTCTTCTCAGTACAAAAATCTAACAATTAATAATTTAATCATCTAATCACCCCTTCGAAATAAACGAATAACAAATGAAGCAAAACAAACAAAAAATTACACATGTAATCGTGTAAAATGGAGTCACAATTTATTCATTCCGTAGATTGGTGTTTGACATGATTTCACTTATTGTCAGACAAAAAATGGTTGAAACATTCAAACTCGTTAAAAAATTCAATGGTCAAATTGTAAAAAAATCAACACGAAGATAATCGGCTAAACATCCTAGGGCCTCCCGTACAGCTCGACAATGAAATCAATGCTGTGGCCACGGACGCTCTTGAACTCGACGGTAACGAAATTGTGGCCCGGACCGCCGTTGATGATCGTAGGAGTGGCACCGTTGCCATTTTTGTTCTGATCCATAAGCCGAACTTGCGTAATTGTACTGTAATTGTTGCCGATGAAGGTCTTCTTCAGTTTGACGACTTGGAGTATGGCGTGGGATTTTTGGACAATCGCGGCCTGGATGACCCGGTCGCCGGGAACCCGAGCTCCAACGATCAAGTCATTTTTCATGGCAGCTTGGCTACTGGCGATCGCCAGCGCGATCAAGAGAAGGGCGACACAGAGACGCTGGGCAGCCATGGTTTTTCCTGAGATTCTGCAAATTATCAATAACCCATTCGAATATTTTTACTTTAAATGTGTAAAAAAAAAAATTTTTTAATACCAGACAAAAACCTACCTGTTTTTTTTTATGGAATACAAGAACCGATTGATCGCGTTGATACTTGACTAATGACTGCTTGGTTAGACTAAAAATCCTTTTTTATAGCGGCCTTATCATTCTTATCGTATTTTTTGATTCGCGTATAATCGAGTGATTCACGCGCGTGCAATCTATTTCGCACGAATGATTATCAGCTGTTTTTTCCCTAAATCGGTGCATCTTGATCATCAACTCGTAACAAGTTTATTAATAGATATGATGTTAATCAACAGTTAATTTATAACGATTATTTATAACAATTTGCAGTTTTTTTGCACGTTACGTTTAAGCTGTACTTGAAATTTTTTTAATACGGTAGATTTGATAACGTCAGCTTTTAACAGAATTTTTTTAAGATCCAATAGGTGACAATAATAGTATCCAACTAGTATCCAGATGTTAATGCTATGTAAGCCAACGATTTGAAAGAAAATTAACGCAGAAGTAGTGTAGAAATTTTTTTTTAATTACTGGACAATTTCAACGTTATTTAAACGTTGTGTGCTATTGGTGACATATGTAATTAATATGACAATAAACATGAAATGCATCACATGAAATGAAAATTTATGTAAAGACTTGACTTATTATTCTGTTATTCCTATTTTTACGTGGGTTTAAAATTATTTGTTTATTTTTTAAATTAAATAATCAATACCAAGTAAAAACAGGACAAATGTTNATCGTATTTGATAAAAATTAAATCAATATTATTTTTTGTAATTTGAAAAAAAAATATTTTTAGATTTAATATACCATATAAGTCTCGATGAGGGTGTTTGAAATAAGCTGCATCATCATTCATAGATATACGTGTCAAGGGGGAAAATTTAATGGTTGTACTGATAGCAATTCTTTTTACGTTACACTGTTTTTAATAAATATGTTAAATAATAGAAGGTGCACTTGTATGCAACAGTCATACCTTAGGTACGCAAAAGTTTGTTTATTGATACTTGCCTCAGTCTAAAAACTTGTTGATAATCTGTTGTTTTAAATATCAAGCTATTATAATGATTCAATTTAAAGAAAAATCTTTTTTTTTTAGTGTTGCACAAGGCAAACAAGTTCGATAGCTTATGATTTGAGCTTTCTTTTGATTCAACCAATTTTAATGATAAATAAAAAATGATGATAATTAAAAGTAATATGGATGATGGGAATGTTGAAAAAATTCACACTGAATGAGATTGAGACAAAAACGGTAACAATGAATGAACAAAAAAATGAACAAAAAATAAAAAGTGACACTAGAAGGAGTGTAGTACCTTAATGGCAGTTTGCATGAGGACGGTGGTGGCGTAGTTGACGCCCTTGGTGCCGAGCTGAAGCACCGCCGAGTAGCCTTGCTCGGTCGCACGGGCTATCGCCTCGTCGATCTCGGTCTCCCTCTTGCACAAGGCCGGGTGCACGAAGCGCCGGTATAGGATGCTCGAGCCCTTGGTTGCGGGGCTTAGCAGCCACAGTACGAGAATTATCTTTATCTCGTAGTAAAACGGGAACCTGTTGGCCAATTTATTCCCCAAAACGTTACTAATATTTCGACCCGTACCAGCGCGCACATCTATGGGGACTGTGTGCGAACTCGATGGTTTTAAGATGCACATTAAAAAAAAAAAAAAAAAAAAAAAAAAACATTCAATAGCTCATAAAGTGCTTGGAAAGTTGAAATCTGGTTTGGAGAAAGTCAGCGGCTAAGTATTACAACCGGTGACGTAATAATGTTTTGAAATAAAAAAAAAATGGTGAAGGGAGTCCCATTCGCGGCTTTGGCAATTTTACCGTCGATGCTCAAATAAAGAAAGGAAGTAAAAAAAAAATTAATTATTTTTATAAGAACGAGAAGAAGAAATAAATGGAATGGAAAGTACGGAAACTGCACAGGCCGCCACTTCGCCTACATCTTGTCTAAAATTAGACTTTCGGAGGCAGTTCCCATGTCAATACACTAAATTATAGCTATATTGTAAGCATATGAACGAATGGAGCGGCATGTAACTCAACCGCTGACGCCAGCGAAAATATTATTTTCCAATTGGGAACACAAAAATAAGTCGACTGCAACTAATTGTACAAGTAGCCTACGGGAGCGGTCCAAGATTTCTTTTTTTTTTTTTTTTTTACTTCGTTAACCCATACGTAACAATAAGTTATGTAATATGAAATGCATGGAGAGTTGTCTTACTATTCCCCTAAATAATTCTCTTTTTAATACGTTGAACATGACGATACTCTGTCTGGCCCTCAAACGGACATGGGCATGGATACTTTTAAAAAAAATGTTCCATTTAGTTTTTACTAAAAATACACTACATTATACATTACACACTAATATTTTTTTCTTTTAATTTCTTACTTACAGCACATTGCTTCACAAATTTTTTTTCGGCAAAAACTATTCATTCCAATTTGAAAGAAAAATCAATGTGGAAAAAAATTAGACAAAATATTTAAATGTTTGGTGTTTTCAACACTTCACAGTAAAATTTCTAAAATGCATTATAGTTATCTGATAGAAAAAGAATTTTTTTTACGTATTATATCGTGAAATGTAATAAGTAATTAAATCTTGCACATTTAATCAATTTCTTTAAAAAAATCATGGCATACGAAAAAGTTGTATGTAGTTGTCATGTGAAACTTTTACCAGAATGTACTTGTGTAAACTGTTGATTATCGAAATCATAGTGAGAAGTAATTATTTTTCTCAGACGTTAGAGGTAATAGGTAGGGCTGGGAATTAGTTTTTCTTCAGCGAAATTTATCTTGTTGCAAACCATTATGTTCCATTGTTAAGTCAAGGACATTTACCAAACTCGAGTCCAGTCGGATAAAAATTACTTGTGTTAGTCTAAAAACTTAATTACTTACACAATTAATTAATCATCTATTCGTACTTTGAAGTACTCAGACCAGCCTCAATGTAAGGTCCAAATTCGTTTTAGACAAAAATATACGATCAATTATATTTTGTACGGTTGGACTATTTCCTTTAGTGAAAACACAAGACATGTCTGTAAAGGAGTAGTGTTTTAAAAGTGATTTTAAAAGGTTTCTTCAATCTTATGCAATTAATTGGTTGATTAATCTCTCAGAACACAATCTTATAAACGCTCGAGGGACTTCACCAGGAAAAACCTTCATCACTGACATTTTATGCGTATGAAGAATTAAATGTATTCATCCGTATTCTGTTAAATACTCTCTTTTAATTAAAAAAAACATTTTATACAATTAAAAGTCAAATTCGTAATTAAAAAACAAATCTTAATTTAATAAAATATCATCTTTAATGAACTTATATTTTTTTATTCGTAAGAAAATATTTAACGGAATGAGGGTAAAGAAATTTTATTTGATTCGAAGAATTGGGTTGCTCAGTGAATCATGAATGACATCGATCAAAAAATTATGGGAAAAGGCAACATTTCTCCCAAAAAATAACTTCGAAAGAAACAAACAAAAAATCATTTTAATTAGTACACCGTTATCTGTCTTTAAACAATATGATGAAAAGTATTTTACTTCGCAAACAGATGATTTGATAAAAATTGTTATCATTTTGATTAGAGTTTCATACGGATTTGATTGTGACAAACAAGATAATATTCTAGATTTTCTTATACAATCTATGCCATGTGATGTTCTCCTTCTTCTCAGTACAAAAATCTAACAATTAATAATTTAATCATCTAATCACCCCTTCGAAATAAACGAATAACAAATGAAGCAAAACAAACAAAAAATTACACATGTAATCGTGTAAAATGGAGTCACAATTTATTCATTCCGTAGATTGGTGTTTGACATGATTTCACTTATTGTCAGACAAAAAATGGTTGAAACATTCAAACTCGTTAAAAAATTCAATGGTCAAATTGTAAAAAAATCAACACGAAGATAATCGGCTAAACATCCTAGGGCCTCCCGTACAGCTCGACAATGAAATCAATGCTGTGGCCACGGACGCTCTTGAACTCGACGGTAACGAAATTGTGGCCCGGACCGCCGTTGATGATCGTAGGAGTGGCACCGTTGCCATTTTTGTTCTGATCCATAAGCCGAACTTGCGTAATTGTACTGTAATTGTTGCCGATGAAGGTCTTCTTCAGTTTGACGACTTGGAGTATGGCGTGGGATTTTTGGACAATCGCGGCCTGGATGACCCGGTCGCCGGGAACCCGAGCTCCAACGATCAAGTCATTTTTCATGGCAGCTTGGCTACTGGCGATCGCCAGCGCGATCAAGAGAAGGGCGACACAGAGACGCTGGGCAGCCATGGTTTTTCCTGAGATTC